CTGCGAGTTTGTTAGATCACCAGCGCACCGGAAGCGCGAATAGACGCGCCGCAGACGCACGCACTTCCGTCGATCACGGGCATCGAACCCGTCACCTGCTCGCGCCCTGCCCTACTGCGCAACGACGCCCACGTACATGCAGCAGTTATTTATTTACTATTCTAAGCCAGCGCTTGACTAGCATCCCACCTGATGGTAAGTGGTGATGCAGTCGAAGATGGTGAAACGCATTAACTTAACAAAAGCCTAATCACCCTTGTCTTGTTATGTGCAACTTTTATCTTAAGAGTTCTCAAACTAGAAAACCCACCGTCGATTTGAGATAACTCTTTAATACCAAATCTGTTCGACGGTATTTATAGAGCACCGTATCGAAGCCTCCGTTCTGCGTTGTAGTGACAGTTGAAGGCTCCGTGGCGCAGTGGCTTAGCAATGAGTTGCAGCGCCAAGGGCCGCGGGTTCGAATCCCGCACGGACCAAGTATTTGTATGGCCTACGAATAATTGTTCCGGGTCTGGATGTTTGTCCTTGTGAAATTTATGTATGTAAACTGCCCCCACGATACAGGAGAAAATCTTAGTGTGGGGGTAACGTTTTTTAAAAGAAGAAAAAAAGAAGAATATTTCCAGATTTTAGTTGTCTAAAAAAACAAAAGAAAAAAAAATTAAATACATAGAAAAACTAATATAAGTTGTTTCTACGATGAACGCTTGACGCATAAAATAAGTAATTTAACGTTCAAACGGGCAGCGCCCGTTGCCACCAACAGAGGTGTCGCCGCACACCGTTCTACTGCCGTTCAGCGCATTACCATATGCAAATGTTTCGTATTATTACACGGCTAGCGCGTCTTTTACAGTTTTTGCTACGACTAAGCACAAGACGCACTACGTCGGATGAAAAGTTCTGCATTATCTCTCAATTTTTTTTTATGTTATATGTTAAGAGTGAAACTTATAAGCGTGTGCCATTCATTGTATTTTTTTTTGTTTTTACTAAGACTACGTAGACAACTATGTGAACAAACAGGCTTGTAGGTATGTGACTGTCGTTTCTTTTTTCTTAATTGCCTTGTAACAGAAACTATTATTAACCAATAAAAAAAGCGGGAAAGTTGAGAGAGAATAATTTTGGGTTTTTTATGTCGCTGTTTATATATTATAGTATATATTATTTTTATATTAGCGTAAAATATTATACGTCGCCAAAAAGTGTACATAAGGAATATTCGTACTTGTATTAAGGATTATACGATTACAACACATACCTAAAATTAGACATGTGTCATTCATATATTTCTAGTGACCTGATCATTCAAGTATTGATTCGTCTTACGAACCGGTTCATTCGGGTCGATCATTCAAATGGATCAATTCGCTCGCTAAAGATGGTCGCCGGATATTACAATACTCTTTTTTTTTTTTTTTTATTTATTTATACGTTGTTTCTCTTTTAATTTCTTCTTGTTTCTTAAATTTTGAACGCTGGAGTGTTAGACTTTGTGACTTTTTAAAGTGTTTCTCATTGCACGATATTCCAGTAATTGCTATTGGGATACAATTATCTCAGAATTTCATGCTATCTTATATTGCTGTTTTCCACCCATTCTGTGTTTTTATACACTTGTTTTTTTTTTTTTATTGATCTGTTCTTGGTTTTTTTTTTTCACAATTAATTACTTATTCATAAGTTTCATGTCATCTTTTGTATGTATACAATTTAAGTTATAATTAGTTCGCGTTATTATAAGCCTTTAGGGTATCTATTATATGGCTTATGAACTTTACATATGATTGAATTGTTGTCTCCTTTGTAATAAGTTCTTGCAACTTGTATGGCGATACTTTTAACATTTGGCAACGGAACTCGTGTTCCATGCGTTTCGTTTGATATCTGGGACAATTTTGTAGAAGATGGTCAATACTTTGTATGCTGTTGTCATTGCATGGACACCTATCTGTGTCTGTTAGTTTAAATCGGTATAAATACTGTCGATGGAATCCATGGCCTGTTAATATTTGGGTGAGTTTGAAATTCATTTGAGTGACTTTCCCTGGTCGTAGGTCCTGTCAATTGTTTTATCCGGAACATTCAAAAAATATAATTGCAATCATCAATAATTTTATGAGATCCGGGTCAAATGAACGAATCATTTACGATTGACACAACATGTCTTACCTAAAATACCATTAATACAGCAAAAGAATAAAACACTAATAATAGGATGTATTTATTTAATTTTTCGGACAAAGGGGTACTCGTAGAACGGTGGGTGTCAACTTGCGTTCACACTTTTGTGCTTTACAAATAAATGACAATTAAGCACACAGTTCACCTGCATTGTTTGTGAACGCTATAAACCTGGTTGACAACCTACCTAACCTGAGAACTAAGATGTAATGCTTCATTTCCAGACAAACGGTCTCCGGTTTTCGTCTCTCATCATCTGACTGGTAATTTGGTAATAAATGATTTCACAACAGTTCGTTCTATTCCAACTTTTAAAAAAATGTATTTGCTTTGTCACCACTACTCTTAATTATGCATTAGTTACACTAAATAAGCCCAAGTGCATCTTTGTTTATCGTATTAGATCTACAGCCGTGGATTATTTAAAATTATATTTCTGTACTTTTAATGCCTTTTCTTCCTCATCGTAAAACGCTACGACCGAATAGACGGACGAATTGTAATGGAACAACGCTTATACAGTGAAAATCAATCCCGTAATGTTCCCGTAAAATATTTTCTTAATAGCGAGAAGATGGAAATTTAAGATGGAGCCATAATTTTACGTCATAATGCCGGAGCTATTAAGCTATGGCAAGGGATAACCGATTGTAGTGGTGTTTTTAATGATAATTAAACCGACCATGTTTTATTGCGACTTTCAAGAGGCGGAACGTTTCATTTAATTATTTAATGTTAGATGAGAATAAATATAATACAGGTCTAAAAATTTTACGACCTTTATTTCCATGAACTCATATTACGAAAATACATTTATTTTAAAAAATGAGTGCATAACGAGAGAGTGGAACTCTTTATCGAAGTTAGAACAGGACTTACCACCACCTAGACAAGGAGTGCTCGGAGGAATTGTTCGGACTAATTCCAGCCGCTCAATTTCGCAATCTTACATCGCGATAAAATACGCGATACCATACCATCCGTACCATCTGGATGATTGGCAGTCCGACACTGTGCAATTTAGAAGAAGTTTCCTTCCTCGCACAACTTCCTTGTGGAATCGAATACCACCAGAGATTTTTCCGGACCAATACGACTTAGGGACCTTCAAGAAAAGAGCCTCCTTTTTAAAAGGCCGGCTACGCATCTGCAATTCCCCTGGTGTTGCAGTTGTTTATGGGCGGCGGTAGTCACTTTTTTTTATAGGATAAGGGTGACAAACGAGCACACAGTCCACCTGATGGTAAGTGGTTGCTGTGGCCCATAAACATCTACATCTATCTTCGGTTACGAATCAAAATGCAGATGCGTTGTCACCCGTGAGGACTAAGATGGAATGCCTCGTTTCCAGTAAAAGGGTCTCCGGTTCTCTACACTCACCATACGAAACACAGCAGCGTTAAGCTGCTATTTTACGCTGGTATTCTGTGAGAGCGTAGTCCTTCCCCGGTCGAGCCGACCAATTCGTGCTACAACCATAATATAGCTGCAGCATAGCTCTACCACGTATAATCACTTACCATCAGGTGAGCCGCATGCTCGTTTGTCCCCCCTGCTATAAAAAAAACGTAATTATAAGATTGGACGTTTATTCAGCTCAAAGAGAATTAAGTAGTAGTTTAGTAATGAGAATTTACATGGTAGAGCCATGCTGCAGTTATATTATACCTAGTTGTAGTACAAATGGGTCGGCTCCACCGGGGAAGGACCGTGCTCTCACAGAATACCAGTGTAAAATAGCAGTTGTTAATGCTGCTGTGTTTCGTATGGTGAGTGAAAAGAACCGGAGTTCCCAGGTTCGAATCCCGTGTTGGGCCATAATAAGTTATTGAACGTTACGTGAATGGCTAATAATAATTTAAAAAAATGTATTTATAGTGTCAACATGTTGACATATTATGATGGACGTAATTGCTATGTGTATCACTAATTTTATATCATTCTAATGACATCATGATATTTTTAGTTAATGATTTAATAAATTCAAATTTAAATTATGACATTGAGTGAATTATACATGACATTATAAATTATGTAAATAACATTGAATAAATGGACATTTTAGAACCTGTTATTACTTGTGGAAAAACTTGTATGCCTGCAATTCTCATTTGTTAACTTTTATGAGCCTACGGGACGATAGTGGAGGATTGATCCTTTTAGGCCTCCCCAATTCAAAAAAGAAGTAACATTCTTTTCCTTCAGTCTCGTTAAGTCTACTGCTACATATAGGTCTTTCCAAGAATGGGTTCGCAGATATGCAATTCCTGAAAGAGTTGCCGCTACTCAACACCCTGGACCGGTAGATTGCAGAGCTGATAATCGTACTTCTTTATAGAATAAGGGTGACGCTCTCACAGAACACAAGCGTAAAACAGCAGCTTAACGCTGCTGTGTTTCTTATGGTGAGTGTAAAGAACCGGAGACCCTTTTTACTGGAAACGAGGCATTACATCTTAGTTCTCACGGGTGACAACGCATCTGCATTTTGTCTATGATCCGCAGCAACCACTTATCATCAGGTGGACTGTGTGCTCGTTTGTCACCCCTCTGTTATAACAAAAAATTGTGGATATTCTTACGTAGCCACTTCACGTTAAAATAGTATACCTAGTTATATTTATTTACTAATACTAATAAAATTTTAATTTGTACGTTGTTGGTATCGCAACTATATATACCTACCTACGAGCAAAAGTAAAGTAAATGTGTAAATGTATTTTTGTCGATCAGTTAGTTTTATAAAGTACTACATTATTCAAACGAAAATATCCAAGCTTCGTCAGTTAAACTAAATTTTAAGTACTAACCTTTTGGTACGCCGAGGCGCAGTTGCTCCTTCTCCCAGGAGGCGAAGGTGGCCTTCAGCGCCTCGGCCATTTTCTTGTTGGTGCCGGGCGTGAGCGGCGGCACCTGCGATGGGATGTCTGAAACAATAGGAAATCTTTATGTTAAACCTTATTCAAAAGTACAAACTTAATTCTTTTCATGGTATAACTTTGAAGTTGTAATTTAAAAAAAAAGTTCATTAATTGCTAACAAACTTGTTTTTAAAAGTGAGTTGCTAATTTTTTTAATAGCATTGATTTTCATAAGTCCGTCATAGTTCATTTAGAAGGATTGGTGATCTAGATATTTAACTATGACAACATATAGAAGGTGGCCATTTATTGAATGAAATATTATCTAGCATCGATAATATAACACCTCTTATAACCTCTTACACCGACGGGACGAAATGAGACAACGGATTCCCTTACACTAACATCACATGCCTAAAAATGTTTCTTTTTTATTTTGATTATATACTGTCATATGCTTAAAATTATTGACGGAAGCTGTTAATACTAAGGAAATACTACGAGCGTTAAATAACTCCAATGCTGTTTTATTACCATGATAATTAAGTAAATTATTAAAAGAAAAAGAGAAAGAGAGCAGTGATTTATGTTTAAAAAACCCTGCGGTTCCCGTTAAGTCCGTTATCAGAATCAGTATTCAACCGTATAACAATAACATTACTTCAGAAAATTCGACTATAAAAAATTTAAATTAAATATTTATTTGCAAATTGTATGTGGTTTTCTTACCTCTAACTGACACGCGCATAGGAAATACGGGGTCTTCGTCTATACTCTTACTCCGCGGCCATGCAGGCCATGCAGAGGTAATAAAACCACATACAATTTGCAAATAAAAACATATTTACATTAATTTTTTACGGTCGTTTATTCTGAAGTAAAGTCATTTCTATACGTGTCAATACTGATTCTGATGACGCACTTAATGGGAACCATAGGGTTCTTGTTATATACTGTATATTGGAAAAGTACTCATTAACACATATCATGTGATATTAATCATGATATATAATCAAAGTCAAAAACTCGTGGAATAAAGGCACACTTCAAAAACTTCATACGGGAAACCACCGCATTGGACTTTACGAAGTATATTTAATATGTGCATTTTCTGCCGGATTTATGTAGGTTCAGAAAGTGGGCAGCATCATGTCTGGAAGTGGTAAAATTTATCATCCATCCATTCATTACAGTCTATCAAAAGTCCTCATAGTGACGGGACGACATAGTGGATTCTCTTAAAAATATCAAATAATTTAAAAATAAATGACGATAAACGACATTTACAATATAATAGATTTCACATCCCAAATTTTAGAGAAGTTAAATTAATTTACTTGAGAGAACAAAATAGAATTGATTTTTTAAGTTTTGATTGAAAAGCAATTTACGAGTATAAAGAGACCACTGATTTTTAAATGGTCTCTTACGATAAAACAAATCAGAAAGTATTTGTCACAGACGGCGCCACATTTCGGGAGCCCAGTACCTTATATCTAATCAAGAGTCATCATCATCATCGTCTCAGATCATTATCGCTTGGATTAATATCTTTATCGACTGTATTTATATTTACCGAGCGCCGAAGTACAAATTAATAGTTGATTTCTTTTCGAGTCGCGATGGCTTTGAATAAAATAAATCAGAGATAAACAAGTGAGATTGTGTTTGTATGTGTGTGTAAATACGTGTAGGCTTCATTCATAAGTGCGTCAGGTTTGTGCTGCGTGTATGAGTAAGCGTTTTGTGCGTGTGTGCGAGGCTTGCACACCTGCCGACCAGTTCTGAGATGCGGAGATTTGTACTCCTCTCCCACGGTCGCTGCCCCGCGCTCTGATCAGCTCTAGCTGAACCATTGCTCTGATATCATTTAAATATAGATATTGTTTTAAATAGAAATTTCGCTGCGTACTTTATTTTTTATCAACTGTTTATATTAAAAATATCTATTTTGTAGCATCGTTAAGTTTTGGTAATTACAATTTTTATATTTGGTAAAGAATTAAATTTAAAAAATGTTCACAGCCATTACCGTTTATTTTAAAAAGAGTAAAAATTATAAATTTTGATATAAACTGAGTTGAAAACATGTTATACATTATAACAGTGTTTTGTTAAATGATCAAATTAATGTTATCCTTTTAAGTTTCTGGGTATTGATTTCTATAGCTTAAAAAAATTAGATTTGTGAATTGCTAATGACCTATCGAATGAATATTGGCTATTACTGTTATGTTGATATTATAAAATATTAATAAACACAATTTTCTTCTTTTTTGTCAGACCGTAACAGTTCATTCCTGGACCATCGACTCTTAATGACTTAACAAGGGGATGGTCCACGATAGACATCACTAGATATATCTCATCTTTCACACTTCTCTATGCACAAGTAAGTATTTTATATCTGGCATATATGAAATGACCGAGTGTGACCTTGACCGCGTATTAGCAGTGTAAGAATATCCAACACCCCATATCGCTCCTTGGGTGTTGTCAGAGGCGACAGAGGGAAACAAACCAGGAGGTGAGTAGCAGTGTCTTCGTAAAAACATTAAGAAAATAAAAATTGCGGTTGCCAACCAACCTTATGAGACGGGCCTATGTAAAACAACTCCATATTTTAGAGGCCATGACGACCTTTTTTGAATTTTTACATGGTCGTCTCTTACGACACTCATGCAAAAGTTAGATAAAATACTCTTTAATTTTGCCACCAAAACACTTTAGTTGCCAGTTAAATATAATACAGAATTATACCATTAATTTATCCACAGTGAGAACATGTCTTATATATTTATTTTATGTTTAATTTATATGGTTTTTGAGTTTATACATGGTCGTCTCTTACGACACTCATGCAAAACTTAGATAAAATACTCTTTAATTTTACCACCAAAAACACTTTAGTTGCCAGTTAAATATAATACAAAATTATACCATTAATTTATACACAGTGAGAACATGTCTTATATATTTATTTTATTTTTATTTTATATGGTTTTTTGAGTTCTTACATGGTCGTCTCTTACGACACTCATGCACAACTTAGATAAAATACTCCTTTATTTTGCTACCAAAAACACTTTAGTTACCAGTTAAATATAATACAAAATTATACCATTAATTTATTCACAGTGAGAACATGACTTATATATTTATTTTATTTTTATTTTATATGGTTTTTTGAGTTTTTACATGGTCGTCTCTTACGACACTCATGCACAACTTAGATAAAATACTCCTTTATTTTGCTACCAAAAACACTTTAGTTGCCAGTTAAATATAATACAGAATTATACCATTAATTTATCCACAATGAGAACATGTCTTATATATTTATTTTATTTTATAATGGATCACGCAGACCAAGATACTAACAATATGTATAGCAAATCAGATGTCGGGTGATTTCACAGCAGTGCTTACGAAGACATTAATTGCGTCGGATCAATGCGTTGTGATTTACTCGCTACATCCCGCGCAGGTGCACTACAATCACGATTACTGGTCGCAGCTTACGGCCAGTGATAATTTCACTCCAACTATAACCCTTGATCCGGATAATAACAATTGCACGTAGTTTGTATTCTAGCGACTTAATATGGGTGCACACCGCAAGGGTACTTTCTAGGGCTCTAATTTAATTACGTGTTTTTTTTTTTATATAAGGGTGACAAACGAGCACACAGTTCACCTGATGGTAAGCGATTGCTGTGGCCCGTAGACATAGGCCCAAAAATCAAATGGCGGATGTTTGGATTGTTTCTAGTAAAAAGTGTCTCCAGTTCTCTACACTCACCATACGAAACACAGCAAAGTTGAGGTGCTATTTTACGCTGGTATTTTGTGAGAGCGTAATCCTTCCCCGGTCGATCCGACCTATTCGTGCTATATACTACGAATATAGCTGCAGTATGGCTTTACTACGTTAAACGAGTAGACTCATACACTTATAGCTCATACACTTTAGAGTAATTTGCTTGTAAGAATTTTATCCTAAGTAGAGTGTTGGCGGGACATCTGGCGTAGCGATGCTCAGTCCGATGAAGCTGTAAAAGCCAAAAGGCTAACACCACAAATATCATCATAAACCAGAGAGTCAGGGCATCGTGTTGTCAAGTAGTCCGAATGCCTCAAGTGTATACTTTCCACAGAGCCATGTTACCAGCATATTTTTAAGCAATTCCGTTGAGTCTTGATCGCTACATTCAAACGTTTCGGGCGCTAACGTCGTTCTAAAACTGGAACTAACTAATAATTCTAACTTACTTCATAGTCTCAAGCTTCCATACACAAGTAGAGTTTTTATTAATTGTTATTATCACTCTGTGGATTTAGTTTGGTTCACCTTGAGTGATTTTGTTATGGTGTCGTAGTATAGATTATGATCGATCATAGAGTACCAATAGCAAGTGGTGAAATAAACAGACACCGTAACGAGTAGAATCATAATTAAAAGTCGATGCCTAGAGTTAATTAAATTTATTACTGACTGATATTATACTGATATTACTGACTTGATTAACTCGATGTCACTTTAATATTACTTACTATATCTGTCTGGTCTTTATTAAGACGTCATTTTTTTTTTAACCTTATTCAAACTGGTTGCTATTGTTTTATGAGATAAAACAGCCTATGTACGGCCAGAGGTATGGCAGAGTACCTCTAGTAACCTCATAGAAGTATTATTTTGGTTTATAATATTTTGATTCAGGAACGTATACCTACATAATTCAATAAATAAATATTTGTACCATATTTGTGTCATGTTAATTTATTTACATTTACATATACATCTTAGTTTAAATAAATTACGAGTGATCTTTAAATAAATTATTACTTCGTCTACTAATTCATTTTTAACCTTTTCAACGATTTATTTTGAAGTATTTGATACAAAATATTGAAAACATAAAACTAATATTAAACATGTTGTAATTACATATTTATTACATTGAATTGTAGTTACTGACGTTAGACTTTTAGGTTTCCAAGGTCTTAGTCATCGAAATGAAAACCTGTCCAAGTAATTATATAAATGTTTGTGTTTGTGGTAGCGA